CAAGCAAGCCTCATGTTAGTTTCAAGCTGCCTGGCTGCCGGCCACCATCTTGGCTGGAAGTTAATTTGCATATCTCGCTGATTAGCCAATGGGAAGGGTAGCGGTCGTACGCCAATTACCATGTTTCTCTTTTATTAGATAAGGATAATAAAGTATACAGAAGAATTTTTATTCTAGTTGTTATAGGACATCTCCATTCTACTTCAGCACTGAATCTCATGTCATGATTACATCATCCACACTACCTCTCTTCTTTATAAGCAATTATAGACCCATAGGCTACTAGCCCTTATTCCTTGAATAATTTAACCCATGGGTCATCACCCCTCTAACATAACTCTCCCTTAATTATCAGTGCTTTCATATCCATAGATCATTCTTCCAATATCTTGGTCTCTCATTTCCTTGAACACTGCTCCTATACGCTTGTCCTTCATGCTACCTCAGTTACTCATTCCCATAGTGATATCTTATACTGACTTTATAACTACTCATAATTGCAATCCCTCCATAATCTATTTCAAGCACTACACATGACCACCACCTCCTATTTTTTCCAGCTTAACTTTCTTAACATATCCCAACAATTCTCTAACTCTGCTGGGATCTATAATCTGTTGATCCTACCAACTTCCTCTTGTCCTTGCATCCCTCCTTACCAATCTTAAATTCCATGATCAACCAAAACCATCACTGTTTTCCATTCTCAACTCCTCTGCTCTATGCCACATACACATGGCAAATTCCAAACCTGGTAAAATCTAACTTTTCACCTACTCTGTGCCCGCATCCAAGGAGAAAAACACACAGTTACAACATCTGATTTCATCTTAAATACATACTCAAGAACAACCAATGGGTTCTTCATGCTACCTGGCAGGCACACATTTCCAAAGTTCATTTAGACTCATCTCATTCATTTAGCAATAATCTCAACTTTCTCCTAGCCCAGCAGTTCTCAACCTGTGGGTCGCAACCCCTTTGGGGGTCGAACGACCCTTTCACAGGGGTTGCCTAAATCCTGCATATCAGATATTTACATACGATTCATAACAGTAGCAAAATTACAGTTATGAAGTAGCAACGAAAATAATTTTATGGTTGGGACTCACCACAACATGAGGAACTGTATTAAAGGGTTGCGGCATTAGGAAGGTTGAGAACCACTGTCCTAGCCCCTAATACTTTCTTTCATACTCATTCTCAGCTGAAGATCTTGATTAATATTTCACTGAAAATCTCACAAGGAAGTATTTAGAAAAAACTTTATTTGTACCATCAAATCTATACCAGCATCTGTACTCAGACAAGCTGCTTGCCCTCCTGTTACTTGGACACATCCCATAACCCTTTTTCTCAAGGCTCTCTCTCTCTAGCAATACTTTGCTTTTTCTTGAATCATCACCATTTCTTTTCCACTGTTCACATCTTTTTTGCCATCTTAAAAAAAAATTCTTGATCCCACTTTCTCATCTTCTATAATCCCATTCCAACCAAGCTTTCACCCAACCACCTGACCCAAACTGCTCATCAAGGTCACTAATAATTTGTATATTGCTAAATTCAATTACCAATCCTCAAACTCTCATCTTCCTCAACCTACTGGCAGTGTCCTACAGAGTTGATTATTCCTCCCATTTTGAAGCCCTTTCTCTATTTCACTTATAGGACTCCACAATCCTGGTTCTTCTTGCTGCTCCTTCTCAGTCTTAGTGGTTTCTCCTTTTCTCTCAGATCTCTTAAAGCTGGAATGCCTAAGGCTCAGTCCCAAGATCTCTTCTTGGGTTTCTAATAGACACTTCAAACTCACCATGTCCCAAATTAAACTCCTGATCTTCTTCTTGCCCTTAATAACTTCCTCCCCTCAGTCTTTCCTATCTCAGTTACTAATGCCAAAAATTTTACAGTTATCCTTGAATCATCTCTGATATGCTCCATTTAACTTGTCATCAAACCTTGTTTTGTTCCATTTCCAAAATATATCCTGAATCTGACACTACTCTAAAACACCTCTTGCCACCTCTCCATTCTAAGCCACTACCTCATCGAAATTACTGAAAAACCTTCTAACTGGTTTTCCTGCTTCTACCCTTGCTCCACAGTCTATTCTCAACACAGCAGCCACTGTGATTACCTTAATACTAGAGGCCCAGCACGCACGATTCGTTTCCACTTGCCTCAGCTGGCCGCCCCACCCATCTTGCACTGCCCTCAGCCATTCCTAGCTCTCCGCTGCTATAGCTCTCGGCCACTAGTAGCTCACGCCCCGCCCTCCACTGATCATAGCTCCCACTGTTAGTAGCTCACATCCCACCCACCGAGAGGCTGCTGCTTGTTTGGTCATAATGGCGTTGTGGTGCAATGACCACAGGCCTTTTATGATTAGACGAGAGGCCCGAAATTCGTGGGGGCGGTGGATGAGGTCCCCTCAGCCCAGTGTGCACCCTCTCCAATCTGGGGCCCCTTGGGGGATGTCCAACTGCCGGTTTAGGCCTGATCCCAGGGAATCGGACGTCCCTCTCACAGTCCTGGACCGCTAGCTTCTAATCGCTCACCTACCTGCCTGCCTGGTTGCCCCTAACTGTCCCCTGCTGCTGGCCAGATTGCCCACTATTGCCCCCTCCCTACTGCCTTGTCACCCCACGCAGCCTGCTTGTTCAGTCGTTTGGTTGTCCCTCACTGACCCCCCTGCCAGCCTAGTCGTATGGAACCATTTTCTGAGGGCTAATTTGCATATTACCTCTTTATTAAATAGTATATTAAGTCAGGGCATGACACTTTCTTCAAAAGCTTCCAATGGCTTCCCATCTCACTTAGAAGAAAAACTGAACTTCTCACTCTGACCAAAAAAGACATAATGATCGGGCACACTCCCATTTATCTCCATTATCTCATCTCTAATCTCATTCTCCCTCTCTTAGCCTCTAGCCACCAGGGCATCTTGTTCCTTAAATTCAACAAGAACCTGCAGTCTTAGTCCTTAGCACTAGTCAGCTCCTCTACCTGGAATATTCTTCCTTCAGATTCTACATGGTTCCTTCACTCACCTCCTTCAAATATGTGCTCCAATATCACCAGCTT